TAAGGTAAGTAAGTAAGTTAAGTAAAGTAAGTACGTATAACGTACTACTACTATATAAACTAAAATAAGTTAGGTTTACGTTAGTATACTACTATATATATATATATATATATATATATATATATATATATATTAGATCCATTGGAAATAAGCTTCAATATCTTGATTTATAGATCTCCAACCAACAAATTGATATAGGGTTTTTATAGATCTCACAATCGTCAAAGTTTTCTCTGAGGGAATGACAGACTGGCTTATGAGGTATTTCTTAACGCTAAAACCTTTGATAAGAATTGATTTCAAGATCGATTTGTGGTTTTTTTTTTTTTTTCTTTTAAGGTATAGCTAGTTTTATAGGTCTCCAAAAGGTTTTTTGTTTTTAATAATTGCTTCAATGTCATTGATAATGGTCTGATTTCATATGAAAAAGCATGATTCCTTCACATGAAAGTTGCAGTTAGAGTTGGCAATGGGTCGGGCAGCCCCATCCTAAAAAAATAGGGCATGGGCCACAAATTGTGGACATAAGGCCAAGGCCAAGGCTGTCCCGGCCTTGGCCTTGGCCTGGCCTGCCACCCTTAGCAAGTCTTGCAAAAAACTTAACTACTCGGTCGAGTCCATATCTACTCAACCAAGTAGCAAGTTACTCGGGTGAGCACTATGCACACTCGACTGAGTAATGTACACCCTAATATAACCCCAACTTGCCGCAACTCTCCCCGCCCAATGGACAAAACATTGAGTAATTTAAATTTGAGTGTTTGAATTAGTTGTAATTATTTTTTCTTTTGGTTTTGAATTATATTTTGAAGTTTTTTTTTTTTGACTTTTTTTCTTTTGCATCATTTGGAGTTGGCTTGCCTTGATTCGATTTGTTGATTTGAGAATCAGCGAGCCAACTCCCATTGACCCAGTAGGAGACTAGTTCCTATTTTATGAACACTGACCATTGACCCAATAGGAGACTAGTTCCTATTTTGAAAACACTGGCCGTAACATCCTTACGGGCAACATCCCCCTAATACTTGCAAGGAGTTTTTTGAGTCTATCATATCTTGTTTATAATTTTACAATAACGAACTTTTTTTCAATCATTTTTGTGTGGGCAATGATTTTATTTGCAACCTGGATCCCGACTTCTACTAAAGCCCAAAGAAGACAATCCAAAAGAATGAAAGATCTCAAATGTGGTGAGGTTTGACTAATCTTTGTTGGCCTGATCTTGGATTTCGATGTTTTGGATGTACATTACTCTGAATCACCCTAAGTATTCTCTTGTAACCCCTTGGTAGTTCACAATGAATCTATCTAAAAGAATTGGATATGAGAAGATTTCTTGAAGTTCTTAGAGTTTCCGATCTAAAAAGGTTTTGAGAATCTTGAAATTTTGTTTTTCTGTCAAAAATGAGATTAGAAAGGTTTTGGGGGGTAAAAGAGGGAAAGAAGACAATTGGGTCCGTGGGCAACTGAAGTGGGTGCCTCAGTTGAGGTCCAAGGCGCCGCCTGCCTGGGAGCACATCCTCAGCCTGGACGAGGAACCTTGGAGGCCTTTTTTTCTACTTATGAAATTCTAAAATACATAATAAAAATCTCAAAACTGTAAGTAGATATGAGATTTTATCCAAATGATGATACTAAGTATTGTGTGTGTGTATGTGTACTAGATGCGGGATTCTCACCTAAATGATACCTGGTACCTTTTATTACTACATAGATTTGACAACCTATTAGATTGACACCCTTTCATTTCGTAGACAACCATCACATGTTTCTGTTATTCTGGTAATATTATTATTCAGTAGATGTGACTGCCATTTAAATTGGAATGTTGATGTTTGGGTCATGTTGCATTACCTATACATATCTGCTGTTTGGTTCTGAAGCTTGAATTTAAATCTTCAGGCTGCAAACAGTGCACATGTTCCCGTCATTTTGGATGCTGGGGGGATGGAGGGACCAATCCCTCGAGAACTACTTAAAGCTGTTGATATTTTCAGCCCAAATGAGACTGAATTGGCACGCTTGACAGGGATGCCAACGGACACTTCCGAACAAATTGCGGAAGGAATTTCAAAATGCCATGAAATGGTGAGCATGCTCCTATCATCCTGCACTTCTGTTTTTTCTTAGTGTTTTCAACTTCATTTTTCTAAATTGTAGCATACTTATATATTTAATTAACAGAAAGACATGTGAAACAAGTTGCAGCCATTGGTATTCCTGAAGATGCCCTTTGATCTTGATTTATTGTCAGAAATTCCACATAAACCCCAGTTTATGTGGATCCCGTTGTAACATCTAATGAGAGGAGCTTCTTTTAGGACTTACTCGTTTTTAAGTCAGTTCTGCTAAATCAGGCTGTCGAGTAGTCTTTCATTATATTTGAACTTCACCACATCCCTCTATTAGTAACACCAAAGAGGGAAGATCAAACCCAATATTTAAAATTGGAGTGCAGCACATAACACTACAAATAAAGTAGTGGTTTTCTGTCTCCTTGTGCCAAGTGTGGATCTTTCCCTAATGCTGAAAGAGATGGACATGTTTTAGCCTTGAAAAGAGCATGAGGGTACTTGGGCCTTTGCGAACATGGACAATCATATAAGCAAATGTTACATGGATATTCGATTTTGTTGACATGTTCCCGTACTTAGAAATGCGTTGATACACATTTGCATGTGGTCCCTATGTGTGTTGACAATTTAGGTTCCCAAAAATAAGTGTTTACACATTTCTCAGACATGTCTACTAACTAGACATGCCATATTGGTTATTAAGTTCATAAAAACATGTACATTTTTGTGGGATGTGAACCCACACTTTTCATAAAAGGGTAAAAGACTTTTTTCTTTTCGAAAGTTAACTGTGTTACATATGTAAGCAGACTACATAAAAGGAATGCTTTAGGATATCCACAAGAGATGGTTGCTCTATTACAAAAGGGGTTTTGGAAAAAAAGAAAAGAAAGAAGAAAAAGGAAAGGATTTTCTACCCACAAGTGGTGGGGTGTTACAAAGCACAGTAGTGAGACATAGATGCTAGGAGAGGAAAAAGATGAAGTCAGGGGTGGTGAAAAGAAGAACTAGAGAAGGGAGAAGGGAGAGAAGAGATAGTGGAAGTGTAGAAAAGAAGAGGAAAAGACATATCTTGTGACAACTTCTGTTGTTGATGGTAGATGTGTTGCTCCTTATTTTGTGAGGTGTTCAGCCATAGCATTGGCCTCCTCGGGGATGTGGTTGAAGATGACTCGTGCTCCCCTGCAAAGTGTGAAGATATGCTATTATCATTGATTGCAGTGTTCTATGGATGCTGACATGAGTGTCATATCTAAAGTATCTAGTACATAGGCATAAAATGCTAATATGGAATGACACGCTTGCACATGCACTATTTTTATAATAATATGGGTTTTCATTATGTAATATAAACTATTCTTATTCACCCAAAAAAACTTATAAACTATTCTTTCCTTGATTAAAAGATCAAGTGGCAAACTGGTAGAGCTGGGGCTTCCATAAAAATCCTCCCAAGATTTACTTTATGCATGAGTCCTTCATAACCTTTTATTCTTTAGCAGTGTACCCATGTGTGGAAGTGTCGACAATGGCCAAAACGTGACAGCAAGCTCGACATGGACAGCAACATGACAGCAAGCTTCGCATAGAGTGTCCAGGTTACATTAATTGATTGCTGTTAAAATTTACTAATAGTGTTAAAGAAGCATTATTTTGAAAAAAAAATTTAAAAGGATATAATCATATAAAATATTTTGGATTATATTCTACGATATATATTTTTAGTACAATTTAAAGCTATCCTCCGTGATATAATTTTTATTTTTCAGATTTTTAATGGTTCTCTTTTTATAATTTTTGAATTTGTTATATAGTTTATATCTATTGTTACTCCAAGAGATTCTGTTTTTTATATGAATTCACCAGTATTGTATGTATTGTACATACATCTGCTTTGTGCATTTTCAGGGAGTGAAGCAAGTTTTGTTAAAACTTGGAGCAAAGGGATCAGCACTTTTTACAGAAGGTGAGGAGCGTCCCATTATACAGCCGATTATTGCGACCTCAAAAGTTGTTGATACAACTGGTGCTGGTGATACTTTCACTGCTGCGTTTGCGGTGGCTCTAGTCGAGGGGAAGTCGAATAAGGAGTGCTTGAAATTTGCAGGTTATTTGTTCACCCTTTGAATTAGTCAATTAGATCCTTGATGAGGTTATTTAGTTTTAAACGTTATATAGTTTTAAGCTCTACTTCATATCTTTTTGTAAAGTGTTGCTTTTTTTGTCATTTATTTTTGATTTCCCCATTGCAACCTGTGATTCAAACATTGGCAATCTAACTCGGAATCACCCGAGACAGATTAGAATTGGTGGGTCACCGACCCGGTTTCGACCTCAAACCAGGGTTTCAGGTAATTTGGCAATTTGGCAATTTGCCCTAAATCGCCTGATTCGTTACAGAAAATTGAGCGCTTAATCATTCAAAATTGAGAATTGCCTGAATTAAGAGAATCACACTTTTTCCAGATGCATTATTGAAGCCCTTCATAACCACTTTTTTCACCCAGCTGCAATTTTCTTCGATTCCCTACTGTTTTTTTACCTGTTCTCTCTCAGAAGTAGATCATCTTGATAATTTTTTAACTGCTTTATATGATCTTTATCATAGTTTTTTGGATCTAGGCCCCTACTTGATGAAATTAAAAAATCAAAAATGGTTTTTTGAACTTTTAATTTAAATCTGTTTGTCATTTAAAATGACTTTTTGAAATGTTTGATTTGATGTGTTTATCTGATTTGAAATGACTTTTTGAAACCACTGATTTAATCTTATTAAACCAAATTCTGAATCTGATTTTAAATCTCTACAATTTTTTAAATGATCGATTCGTTTCTTATTTTAAAAGAAATTTGTGTTTCTCTCTGGTTTCTGAATATCAGAAAATTTGATTTAATCTAATTTAAATTCATTGTTTGGTTGGTTGTTCAAATTAAATTAAATAAATTTTTAATCTGATTTTTCACATTCAAAATTTCTGAAATAATACCATTTTTCTAATAACCGTGGCAGAACTTTGGGAGTAAAACAATTATTTTAATAAAAAATGGATCTGATTCTTCATTTTCAAAAGTTTTGAATCAAAATGATTGACTTAAAAATCTTCTCAAATGATCTAAACAAAGATTTCTGCAGAAAAAATAAAACAGAAGAACTCAGACATAAAGAAAGCAGTGGTTTTGATTTTTCTACAGAGAAAGAGGGCTTGGTGATGGGTTTCTCGAACAGTCGATTGATTATGATTTTTGATAACTATTTATCTGAAGGAAAAATTACAGATAGGCAAACCCTGCCCCAAACGATTTGAACCTGTTTTTTTAATAGCCTGTTTCTTTTCGGGACATTGTTATCATGTCTGTTATGGTGTGGCAGCTGCAGCAGCATCTCTCTGTGTTCAAGTGAAGGGAGCCATCCCTAGCATGCCTAATAGGAAGGCAGTTTTGGAGCTGCTTCAATCTCTTTGAAGAAAAGTTTTCTCCTTTTGGCGTGTGAGAGATGTTGATTTCTTTTCTAATGAATACATCAAATGAAAAGAAAAGATGGGTGTAATATGCTTCTATCTTAACATGTAGGCAAACTGGATCAAATATTTATAAGAAGGGAGATAAAATGTGCATACCTAATAATACAAAATGATCATTTATTCTGAAATTATGTTGTGCTTCGTAACAGTTCTGTTATTTATTGGCAAGTGAAAGAATGTGAGAGGATATATTCGGACTGTAATTTGTCAACCACAATTCACTTGCTAGTGAGACATCTGCTGAGAGAAGTCTGGGGTTTAAGCCTTTCTCTTGCAAACCAAGCTTGACCCACCCAAAAAAAGAGATGAATAAAGAGGGCCCATTTGCTTTGTGTAATATGCCTTTCTTATCTGAAGTACTGCACAATCCTGTTATTTTTGTTATTGATCCACTAAGATTTACTTTTGTATTTAATCAGTTTTTTGAGCTTGTGCTTAATGCCCTTCCACGACATGGGCTCATACATCTGCCTGGCTCGATGTGCTTGGATTCTGTCACTTACATGGCTCCAAACAGTAGTTGGGATCAACTCAAGAACTTGACGACTGTTAAACAAAAGGAGAAACTGTATGTCGACACTGATGGATGGTTTATCCATGCCTAAATGGATGATTGGGAGGTGTTCTTTGGAAGTTTTAGGGGGGAATTTGGTCATTTTATTCTGTCACAAATACTTTTTTATATTTTTTCTGTCCCTCTATGAAATGGGAGGATGGCATGCTTTCCAAATTTCACGTTCATATGATTTAAAAAAAAAAGAATTAAAAAATACAGTACTTTGAGCCATCTGACCAAGAACAAATACTCATAGGTTCACATTTGACACTATGAATGAAGTTACCACAACCATTCAAATCACATATGATGGTTGAGAGGAGTGGAATATGATGAGTTTCCTGCACCTAGTGGCGTATAGAAGTGTTCTTGAAAAAGAAAAGAGTGACGTAGCCTAAACTGGAAGCCCACCCCTATTATGCCAAAGTTAAAACCCGAATGGTACTCAGATTATGCAAATTTCAAATATAAATATATAATATATATAGTATAGAATAATAAATAGGGAAAAGTTTATATAAGGTTGTAACTTTAAAATGTAGAATTTCAGATGCACCTCAAAAATCTATTAGAAAGGTTGTTTTAATGTTGAAAAACTATGTGATTGATTATCTTGACATCGAGATGTATGATTATGAAAAACAAAAGATTTTGGGTCTAAAACACAGTGCATCTTATAACATAATATCTACACTGTCCATTTTCAAATTTTTTATATGTTTATAGATCTATTTGATTTTAACCATTTTTAAAATTTAAAATTTTATAATAAGATATAAAAATAGATTTTGAGATAATCTTAAGAATATTTTACGTCAAAATTTTATATTATGTTAAAATTTGAAGGTGCAACTTACTTAGATTGTTTAAGGTTGCAACCTTAGGGAAACTACACCCATATATATAATATAGTGTATTTTTATATTTATTGTATTAATAGTTGTTTGTATTATATATTGTATTGAAAAAATCTATTACATAAATAAAATATAATAGATGATATTTATGTACTATATTATATAAATAATATAGCATAAATATAAATATAAATATATATTATAAAATAATATGAATATAAGGAGGGAGGCAGAATAGGGTTTGAGAAAGAAGCCTTTTTTGAGAGTCCAGTTCCTATTTTAAGTTCTTAGATGAACTTCTTTGCTATTTGACAAGAGTACTTATTTTTATTAATTGAATAATTCAATTACAAACATCTCATAAATTAAAACAACAAAGGAGAGACCACTAAAGAATATAAAAGAGCTCCCTTCTTAGCCAGATCATTAGCAATAGAATTTACCTCTCTATCCAATTGATTGAAGCTAAACGAAAAATCAATCAAAAAGTCCAGTCTGCAGCCAAATGTAAATCAATCAAAAAGTCCAGTCTGCAGCCAAATGTAAATCAATCAAAAAGTCCAGTCTGCAGCCAAATGTATTTAAGGCACCATGGAGGTCTCAAAGTCATATTACACCATTGGATAACATTAAAAGGAATCACCTTCGACAAACAATAAATAACCCAAATTCTTCTCCTTCCAAATAGAGATCCCTTGAAATAACGTTAACATTTCAACATGATTAGCAGTAACCACACAACAAGTAGCAACATAGCAAAAAACAATAGCACCATCACTATCTCGGTATACACTCCTGGTCCCCAGCCCTGCCTGGGTTCCCAAAAGACGATCTGTCAAAATTAAGCTTAAAACACCCTCTAGTAGACGGCATCCATCTACATTTTGGTCTCACCTTTAAAAAATGCATAGAAACTAAATGAGCTGTATTTTTCCACGTCAATCCTAGAGACCTCCCACACCTCTTTTGTAATGCTAAACCAGCTCAAAACTCTATAAAGAATATTATTCTTGACTTGTTGGATTTCTAATGATACTCTATTAAAGGTACGTTTATTTTTTTCTAACCAAATCTCTCAAAAAATAGCTCTTTTTGTTTTCTTAAGCACAAGAGAGTAAGGAAGTTTTGAGGGAACTTCTTTACCATATCAGTTCCATGCATCAAACATGGGAGTTGTACAATAATGGGGAAGTTCCGTTTTCCTCCCCCTAACTTCCTATTATTAAATACGCTTTAAAAAAATTTAGGTAGTTTCTCTCTCTAATTTGTAGGGGTATTTTGGTAGAATTAATTATATTTGATAATAATAACTATAATTATTATTATATTATTAATTAATGTAATAGTATTACACATGCTATTTTATTATCATGACTTAATATATGCCGTTTTATTTTTGTGTAACAATATTGTACTACTAATACCATTAGAATTAATACGATTAATATTTGTTATTCTTATAGTGTTATAAGTTATTTTAATATTAATATTATTGCATTAAATCATCAATTATATTATAATGTATTGTCTCATGCTTACACATAATCGGATAAGCCAACATTTTCTGTGACTTTGTATACCCATGTTTTGGCCTTGTTTTTGCTTCCAGAAAATATGTTTACAAGTCCAGAGAAGTTACCAAACATATCTTTGTGCAAAATATCTTGGATACCCTATGATCCAAATGACCTATTAATTCTTAGCAAAAATTTATTTTCTTGAAAGTCCAAGGCCGCACATCGCTTTCTTGTTCATCCAAGCCCATCCACCCACTAGTTCATGTTTAAAACACCGTTTGAAAGTGACAAAAGCAAATCGCCAAATTTTATTACGGGCCAGGACCACCCAACTTCCCTCCCGGGATCGGTGACCTTCTCCAAAATTAGGGCTACCAGCAAGGTAACCTAACTTGGCTCAAAACTGTTAAATAAAGGCTCTTGCCCAGACCTGGCTCCGGGCTCAGGGTTTATGTGGCTTGAGCCCTGCGCATTGCTAACTTCGGAATATTTCGGTTGACAGGACCGGACTCCATAATAACATAAAGGAAAACCGTTTCATGCCCACAGACTTAACAAGCATCTATCTTTAAGATGGACTTTATCTAAATTGTGTTGTTCATGAATAAGATATGGATGGTGCATAAAGAAATAGGGGGAATTATCACAAATATATCTTAATTTTCGTTTAGAAAAAAACTTTCATAAACCTCGCTAACACCTTTTTTTTTCTTCAATTTTGATATTTTTTTAACCAAAATAATTCACATTAGTCGTATTACCGTGAAGACTAAAATGTGTATTATACGGCATTTTAAGTACGATAAAACTAACCCATATTATGCGGCATTTTAAGTACCGAAAAAACTAATCCATCTTATATGACATTTTAAGTACAGTAAAAACTAATCATGTAAGAAAAAAACAAACCCAGGTTATATGGCATCCAGAATGTTTATATTTATCTATTTCATCATGTTTATATTTCTCTGTCATCTCTCTAATTCTTTTATGTTAATATCTTGTCACTCTCTAATTCTTTTTAATATTTATCTCTTCTTTCTCTCTTTAATTCTTTTTTATCTCTTACTTCTCTTTCTAATTCTCTTGTTTATATTTATCTACTTCATCATATTTATATTTCTCGTTCATCTCTTTAATTCTTTTATGTTTATCTTTGGTCGTTTTTTAATTTTTTTTAATATTTATCTCTTCTTTCTCTCTTTAATTCTTTTTTAGCTCTTATTTCTCTTTCTAATTCTCTTTTTCTCTTCAAAGAGATTTGTATAACAACATGTACGTATCTTACCATCCCCTGTAAAAACTTCCTTCAACCCCACCCCCTATAAAAGTTAGACAGAATCAAATTTGGATGGAGTTGGAATCATCTTTGTTGAGATGATGAAGTAAATAGAGAGAGAAAAAGAGTTAGTGAGAAAAAAGATTTAGAGAGAAAGAAGAGATCAAAACAAATTAGAGAGAGAAAAAAAAGATAAATATTAAAAAGAATTAGAGAGAGAAAAAATAGATAAACATGAAAAAAAAATAGAGAGATAAAGAGACAAATATGAACATTATAAAAATGTTTATAACATGGGCTAATATTTATGGTACTTAAAATACTGTATAATTTTGGTAAAAAAAGTGTTCAAAATTGAAGAAAAAAGATGTAGGCGAGGTTTATGAAAGGTAAAGTATATTTGTGATAATTTCATTAAAAAAAATTAAAAATTATATTTTTAATTTTAAAAGTTTAATTTTCTTTTCATACTTATGATCACCTTGGCCTAGATGATGAATCTAAATAAAAAAATAGTCAAAAATGAATTTTAGTAGTGGGATATATATGTACATCTGAGTCGGCCCACTCATAAAAACCCCATCCTAACAAAATTTTTTATCAATAAACATATGTAAAAAAGTATGTATAAAAAACATTGTGAACAAGGTTCAAGCAGCCAGGTGTTAGTTTGGGCCCTACCGAAAAATATGGGGGCATATAAGGACTAGCCAGGGCCCCGGCCCTGCGCTTGGGGCTTCCCACGAGGGCTCCAATATGGGCCCAAACCCACTGGCAGACCTTATCCAAAATGGTTAATTTCTTTTCGTGTCTCTCCTCTAAATGAAGTGAATAGGTCTGGTTGTCTGGTTTGGTTTAGCTTGAGAAAATTACTAAAACCTCCTCTGCAGTTAACTTTTTTAATATCTTCCTATCAATATTTTTTTTTAAAACACTAAAAAAACTGGTACTATTTTCTTTTACACTTTGCCCAATCAAGCCAAAACACACCTCTCTCCATTACACCCACATTTCAGAGTGCTAGTTCAGCACTATGAAATCCATGTGCCAAACTAATCTGGAGCATTTTTTTAGGCTGGACTAGATTTACTTTTTAGTCCACTGATGGACTGGCACTATGAAATCAATGTGCTAGACAGCTACAAACTAATTTTTCGATTTGATGCAAAAAAAATTAAAAATAGTTATTGTAAATATAAGTCAAGTAGGGGTATATTTTAGAAAGCCTTCTAATTGATCATCTCGACATCAAAATATATAGATATGAAAAAAAAAATAAAAAAATTTGAGTTTCATAAATAGTACATCTTACAATACAGTATCTAGATCATCTATTTTCAAGATTTTCATATGTTTGTAGATCTACTTGATTTTAACTATTTTTAAAGTTTAAAATTTTATAATTAGAAATAAAAACAAATTTTAAGATGATCTTATGAATTTTTTGCATCAGAATTACAGATTATAATAAATTTTAAAAGTGCGCCTTAATTGAATTGTTTAAGATTGCCACACGCTTTTTGTAATTTTCCGGCTTAGCAACGGAGAAACAAACTAAGCAGCTCAATCAACGCCCTTACCAAAACGTTTGTACATCTCGTATCTCACGTCCCGAAACGCACCGTCCACGGTATTCCACGTCACCACTTTAAAAACTCTAACCCATGTGTTATATATCATTAAAGCCCCTGTGACCATTTCCACGTGCAAAAAATGATTTTCGCATCCAGAAAAGCCCCGATCTTAAAGCAAACCCCACGTCAAAAGACAAAGAAGATCGAGCCGAGCCGAAACCAAAATAAAAAAAAAGGCTCGAGCCGAGCTGATTTAGCGTTTGTGGAGCGGAAGTGAAAAGGAAATCCAGTCCACATAAATGTTTTAAAGGGTTGAAAATATCGGACTGCGGAAATAATATTCCCATCACCCACCAGATATAGATGGACCGTCGCTCTCACTCTTTCTACGTTTATACGGTCGTCTACTGAAACCACTTTCTCAACCGCTTATGTAGAGGAAATGGTTTTATTATGATCAGATTTAGTTGGGGAATGGTTCATTCAAATAGGATTCTATGAATCAGTAGACTGATTCTCATCGGGGATGAATCTTGATTCCTTCCTAAAATCGACAATGTACCCTATTCTCTCTTATTTGTAATATTTTCTATATATTATGTTTGTTTAATGATTTAAATTGTCAAACATATTATATTATTTTCCTATTTGAAAGAAATTTTTTTTCTCATATGAAATTTTGGCAACCATCTAAAAAATCATTGGATGATTATTTTTGAAACATAAAATTTAAATTTTAAATACTTAGATCCTATTCTTAAAAAATTAAACAGTTTTTAATTCAATTTTAGGATATTAATATTATTATTATTTACCAGAGTACTTGATTTTATTAACTGCATGAACCCATTACAATCATATTAAAAGGCCTTGGGACGTTATTTTCTTAAGTACATAAAGAGTGTGACTTGGAAATTTTTTTTAAAAGGTTAGTTGAAGAGGTTACATCCTCAATATTTGAGATCTCAAAATTATTTTAGATGCAGTTTGTATAAAGCTTAGGGTTTATAAAAAAAAGTAATGCCTCACCTTGAAATACTGTCCAAAAAAATACTTGCATGGAAAATCTCTAAGATGGTCCCATAATCTATTTCGACTGCTAATTATGAAATTTGTAGCTCAAAAAATAGTATAAATCTTATAGATATATAACCTAAAAAAAAAAGAATAGTCTAGATAATATATTATAAAATACATTATTTTAAGGTTTTGAAATCATTAATTTTTTTCAAAACCATAATGATCAAGATTAAGATAATTGGTTTTAAGATTTTCTAATGCTAAAACTATAATTTTCAATGAATTTTGAGGTGAAAATTTACTTTTTTTTTTTTTAATAATAGAGCCGTAGACCTTTCTTAACCTTTTGGTTGGATTTTACCCAATAAAATATATGGTATGGATAGCGTACCTAATACTTATGCTCTTTTCAATTTTAGGAAATTATTTTATGCGGGCTGGACCGCATTTTTACTAATACATCAAGAAAGTGTAAAGCATCCATGTTAAAGATGGATGCAAGTAGATTTAAAAATGATGCAAATTGATGGTCCACATGTTTTCTTACTAGGATCATTATTTATGATTTTTAAAATTTATTTATTTTCTGTATTCATGAACTCGACATGCCCTTAAAAATTAAGTATTAAAATTCATCTCTTGATTTATCAAGAGGCTCGAATTTCTACATACGCGGGAAAACCGTATATACTTGCTATAGCTACGACGAGTGCTACCAAACTACGAATATAAAGTACGATACAGAGGCGGAGGGAGGTGCGGTGCCTAGATTCAGGGAATAATACCACCCCCAACAACTCTTTCGCTCTCTAAACTTCTCTCTTGCTCTCTCTAAACCTCTCTCTCAAGCGTCGGCTGTGCTTTCTTTTCACTCTTGTCTGGTTTTGCTGGAGCCATATTTAGGTTTACCGACACAACACACTAGCGGAAACCCTCCGAGTTACTGTACCATCTGTAACTCTCTCTTTGCTATTGAGATCTGGTTTCTTCGTAGGCGAAGTTCAGCGGAAGACAGAGAGAGAAAGGCGAAGAAAAGAGGGTCTTGGGTATTTTGGTGCAAGTTGGGGGAAGGTGGGTAGAGTGAGAGAGGGGCAGCGTATGTTGAGTTGCAGCGGAAGGATCCCACGATGCAGGGCTTGAGGCTGAGGTGGCCGAACAGGCCATGGCTCTCTGGTTTTCTATGAGGGATCTTGTGTTGTTTCTTCTTTGTATTGTGAAGGGCTGGGCTAGAGTGAGGAGAGATTCTGGGCTTGTGATCAGAAGCAGAGGTCGATGGGGCAAATGCGGTTGATTCGGAGGATCTCCATTTGAGAGAGAGATCCTCGCTGCTTTTATATCGATTTTTTGGATATTTGGGGCTTCTTTGGTTGGTTTGGTCTCTGCAACTTCATTACAATGCAGCAAGATCAGCGCAAGAAAGTAAATGCTCTCTCTCTCTCTCTCTCTCTCTCTCTCTTTAAACTACAACTGCTTCTTGTTCTGTTCCACTTTTTTGGGAGTTCTTAATTTGTGGATCTTTTGTTTTTCTCTCAAAACTGTAGAGGACAGAGATCTGGATTGTGTATAATTTCTTTGTGAACTCTGACATTTTTTGTGGGTTTTCCTGAATCGGACGTTGAATTATGAGTCGATATCTGTAAACATCCCCTACCTCTTGATTTTCTTCTCTTGGATTTGGTCTTTCTTTAGTTATTGTTGCCCAAATCATTTCTCTTTGCTGGTTCTTCAATTCTCTTGCTGAATTAGTTGTTGCAAGTGATATCTGCGTCTACCTCTGTCTCAAATTTTGGAATTCCTTTCATGAGTTTCTCGCAAATTGCTTTCTTGCACATTCTCTCACTAGAATTCGCCAGGCCTTAGATAGAAGAGAGCTTTCCCTTAGTAATTTCATATCAGGTGCGGATGGGCTTTTTTAATTTCCAATGTGCCCTGGAAAAGCCCCCAGGGTTATATGTGCTTGTTGTTCTCGTAAAGATCTAAAATGTGATTGGAAGTGATATTGGGATGCTTAAAAATTGAATTTTTGCAAATTACACCAAGGGTTGTTGAAATAAATAGAGCAGATGCAGGTTCTCCACTATTCTCTTTTAATCAGGCTTGGTATTTTCTGAGGTTTCTATGGTATATATTATACGCTACTATTCGGTTTCATGTGAATTTTTGAGGTACTTATCATTGCTTTCATTTTTATTTTTTTTTCTTTCATGGGTTTCTTCAAATGAGGCTTTTTTCGTTCTTATTTGTGCAGAATTCAGCTGAAGTGGATTTCTTTTCAGAATATGGAGATGCAAACAGATATAGGATTCAGGCGGTCATTGGGAAAGGGAGCTATGGCGTTGTTTGCTCTGCGATCGATACTCACACAGGAGAGAAAGTGGCCATTAAGAAGATACATGATATATTTGAGCACATCTCTGATGCAACACGCATTCTTCGTGAAATCAAGCTGCTCAGGCTTCTGCGCCATCCCGACATTGTTGAAATAAAGCACATTATGTTGCCACCCTCAAGAAGGGACTTCAAAGATATATATGTGGTGTTTGAGCTGATGGAATCGGATCTCCACCAAGTCATCAAGGCAAATGATGACCTGACGAGGGAACACTATCAATTCTTCCTGTACCAGCTCCTGCGTGCTTTGAAGTACATGCATACAGGTACACTGGCCTTGTATTCTGTTCTGTTGGCATTTGGTTGTGAAATGTACAGGCAAAGTTGGGTTGCGTTTCTGTGAAGCAGTAAATGCATGGCAATTTTATCGCTGAGGAGTGTTTCCGTGTTCTAATTTTCTCGACTTTGATTCGGTTTTTAGAAACCATTGATTTGTAGAATAACTGAAAGGACTGCAAACAGGGCATTAACCCGATTCTTTATCCTTTTTGCTTTCTTTATGTTTTTTCTGATCCCAATGCAACTGGCCCTCTTCGTTCCATTTCTTTCTATGGAAAGGAAGTGAACTCCAAATTGATTATTCTCTGGCAGATTCTCCTTTTATTAATTCATTTTATATCTATACAAAATTTCTATATCAGCATACAACTCTGCGTAAAAAATCTCTCACTAAGATGTGCTATACATTTTGAATGTCATGTGCATGCAGTATTGTTTGGTATGGAAGATTTCATGTTGTTCCCTCTTAGGATTTTTGTGCAATGATGGAGCTAGTGTTTCTCCATCGTTTTTTATTTCTCTGTGTTTGATGAACTCATGCACTGTTCCAAGTTGTATGTGTGGTGAGTACTCTGAGCATTCTTTCTTGCTTAGGTGGAAAAGTCCTGCTGAGGTGGGACGTGTTTCTGGCATAGTGCTGGGACTTAACTGCAGCAGCTGACTGGGGACTTCTTAAGTTTGTATGCCATGTAATATATGTGATATTATTCTCTAATGTTATGTTATTTTAATATGCCATTCCCTTTTAGTACCTTCAAATAATTTGTTATTCATTAAAGAAAATGTCATTCCCTTTTAGTTTAGAATGTAAACTTCATGACATGGTCATCTTTTTATGGTTATTCTTTACTTTGTTTTGGAAATAGGGAAAATATCTCCATACCCTCCATTTTTAAGTTTTATATCTCAATAGACCCAAGTTTTCAAAACATATCTTGGGTCATAAAAATTCTAAGTTTTATATCTTTTAACCCCATAAGCTAACTTTATCCGCTTTAAACCTATTTGCTTGCCCCAAACAAATATAAGAAAGACATATGCTTTCTAACCACCATCATTTCTCTCTCTTCATGTGCTTTTCCCCTAAATCTGTCTACCTATTTTCCCACTCGCTCCTCCCGTCTCTCTCTCTTTCTCTCTCTCCCGTTAGAGAGACAAAGGGGGTGAATGTTAGAGAGAGAGAAATTTTGGAGGAATATATCACGTAAAGACAGAAAGGGTTTAGAATGAGCATGTCTTTTTTATATTTGTTAGGGCTAAAAAAATAGTTAAAAGTGAGTAAAGTTAGTCAGGGGATTAGGAGATATATTTTGAATCTTTGGGTCTATTGAGATATGAAAACCAAAAATAGGGGGTACGAGAATATTTCCCCTTGGAAATAATCAACCATTGCATCTTCAGACCTGAGGGATTCATGGTGGTATTCTCTCCTTTGCGAAATAATTCATATTTGTTGTTGATGAATCATCTTTTTGTACATTCCTGTGATTTCCAAATAAGAATTCGTTTCCAATATTCTTGTTGCATCAGTGCTCATGTCGTCTCTAGGATTCTTGTATTATGCTTGATTAATAGCAAGTACTTGGAATTTTTTTTGCATGTTGAAAATTGATGAGTGAATGCTATGATGTATGTGGGACATTGTTTGTTACACCTTTTATATTGCACAACCCTCAGGTTCTTTCTTTTTTAAGTGCACTACTCTCTTTTGTCTTCTTTTGCAAAATTGCAGAAGAAAAATGCACATGCTTGTTTTCATCAAATTTACATGAGTGGATCATTAACCATGAGAATCTTCTGTGTCAGAATGTACGAGTACAATTTTGTGTATAAGATGTATGTACTTTGTTGATTATATATTGCAGTTAACATAATGGCCCAGTACCTTAATCTTACCCTATCAACACCAGGTGTGCTAGCTCATAGGCCATCTAATTTGCCTCCCTATTGCATGGGTCATGCTCACAAGAATTTTGAGTAAAATGCAAACTTATTTATAAATAATTATTTAGTCTTGACTATCTATGGGAGACAATTGCAATTGTGCAACCATCTATTGCCTTTTATGAAACCCCCAAAACTCATTATGAAATCCTATAAATTGATGCACTTTGGCACACTTACAGTATTATCTTTATCAGCATCATCTTAGGTTCTTCCAAGTTTGAATTTTCCCTAAAAATATGAGTTTACCATATACCCCATCCACTTATCTTATAGACCCCCAATCTCTTGATGCTGGACCTTCTAAGAAATGATATTAACCTTCTGTAACTGATTAAAAGCCGTGGGGTAGTTTCATCATTTGCCAATAACAAATGAGAAGATATATCGCAACACTTGGATGTTTTGGTTTGGTGCCAGCATTTAGGATCTAACAAATGCGATCTAAATATAGCAACACATGGCTGATATTGCAACACCAAGTTCAGCGAACTAAATATGCTTAAGCCAACCTAGGCACCCATGATTTGGATCATGATTTTGCATTTTTCTCTTGGTAAATATTGAAATTTATCCATGTTCAAGAAAATAGTTGCAATAGATGGTCAATATATTTTGTGTCCAGAAATTTTGGAGGGTGTTGACAAAGTTTGTTATATGAAAGTAAATGCAATGGCAGTTGCTATGCAATAACGTTGCCATGTTATATAGTTGCAAGTTGCCGTGTTATATAGTTGCTGTCTCTGGTAAAGTCGTTGTAGTTTCCTTTTTTCCTTTTGTTCCTAGGAAAGCTTTGTTAGATGCACCAAGTGTCTCAAGCAAATCCTTTCCTAGCTTTTCTTACTCTCTTAAGTGAAAGTAAAGCCTAACTAAAATACATGCATCGAATTGTGGGAGTTTCTTATGTGAACCTGATAATTAACAAGGGACAATTCAACTGGTCTATTAAGGACTCCATGCTCTACTGGAGTCTTTTCTGTCCTATGAGTAAGATCTTGACTTGATGTGTTAACTATGAGTTCATGCCATGGTCTCGAGGTAGTTCTCTTATTACAAGCTTTATGTCTTCTAAAATTTCTTTTATTAGTAGATCCCCTTACTGTCTTTTCAGTTCCATTGGATGTCTTTTTATTAGTAGATCCCCTTACAAGCCCCTTTTTTTGAAGGCTCAACCTTTTGTAATCAGCCACTTCAAGAGGCTAATTTTTGTATAGGGTCAGTGGACCAAAATTTGTTGATTAAGGTACCCGTCTCGTGGGTATCCTGGTCGTCTCCTCCCTCCCTCTACTGTATTCTTGCTTATTCTAAGTAATACAATGTTAACTTTATCAAAAAAAAAAGTATACCAACCTCAAAGAGGCTGGTATGCCTTCTACCTTTTCTTTTTGTGTTTTTTGTTATTTTTGGTTTTGATAAACACGATATGCTTTTGTATGTACTAATTTATACTCTTGTCAAATTTATATGCTGAAAGATCTGTATTTATTTATTTTCTTGGTTTTCTAATTTAGGCATGATTGTGTTGGATAGACAAGATTTGATATGTGCTTCATATTCTAAATCTTGTTTGCTTTGTTTGCAGCAAACGTGTATCATCGAGATTTAAAGCCGAAGAATATATTGGCAAATGCAGATTGCAAACTTAAAATTTGTGACTTTGGGTTAGCAAGGGTGGCATTCAACGATACTCCCACGACAATCTTCTGGACTGTATGTTTTTATGCCTTAAAAAACACACCTGATGAAATTTTTGCGAGCATAGTTTTTGTGAATTATTACCTTCACATGTAAACTTCTATTCTTATTTTTTTGGCTATTAACTCTGATTATCTGGATAATGTATTAATGACAAGTTTTAGTTGCTCTATTTTTGTACAGGATTATGTTGCAACTAGGTGGTACAGAGCTCCAGAGTTATGTGGATCTTTTTTCTCCAAGGTAAGAACATTTTTTTTTTAATAATTCCATTTAAAATTATTGGGAAAATAAGAGCCATGCAGTCCAGTAATTATCTAGTGTTGGCACCTTGTTGGTATTTTGAATGGGAAGTTGATGACTGCTGCCTCTGTTTGAAACTGCATTTATCATTAGGAATTGAAACAGATCTGATTACAAAATTGACATGTGCATGACAGTTTTTGTTTCTTTTAGGGTTTGTATAAGTGAGTGTGGGGACTGTTCTCTGTTTAGGTGCTTGGTCAGTCACTTAAGAATGTTATGGGACAAACAGTTCTGAGTTTAATGACATGATTGAGAGATGAATATGGCTAGCGACATATGTAATTCTGTATTTATCGACTTTTTTTAGTTGATGTTCTAGAATTAGCACATTTTGCTAATGCTTTTATTTCATTCTCTTATGATGTAGCTCTTGTATACGTAATTCGCCGTAAACTGTATGTTGGATTCTAAGGGCTTTGTGTTTGTTAGCAATAGTAATGTAGTTTTGTGTTTTTCTCCTGAACCAACTGTGCTGGGAGATAACCTATCTTGAAGCTATGTGCCTGGTTCCTAGTATACTGACATCAGAAGGAAGTAAAAAAAGAAAAAAAAAAAAATCTTCCAGAGGGGGTCGTGCTTTCCTCTTTGGTTGTGCACTGACTTGAGGTGGCCGCCTGTTTAGAGTTTTGAATGACTCCACCCCATTATTCGAGTAGTTGTATTATTGAGGCAGTTCATAGGTTCATTGGTTTGCACCTTGTTGAGTCAATTTTGTGTCATGATGCAGTGATTTAAAAAGCGGACTGCCCAGGCAGCTGCCTAGGCGGTCCAGAAGGCCTGGG